GACCATGGACACTACTACCAATGAAATAGCGGACCAAACCAAGTCTTTATAATAGTGAGGTATCAAAATAGTGTATTTAAGTGTTTTACAGTCACAAAACACTTAAATAAACCATTTCCATTGATATGATGTTTCTAAATTAGTTCATGCTTTATTTTGTTCTTTCATCTTACAGATTTGTTTCAATATCAATGGGACTGTGTGCATGTAACTCTGCTGGCCATCTGAGTAACCATGCAGATGTAGCTCCAAATCATGCTGGCATCACTTTTGCTATTTCTAACACTGTGGTGAGAAGTGGTTAGCTATAAATTCTTTACTTGTGACTAGAAACTCGTATAAAACACAGCTTTTTGTAAGGACAAAGTGGATCTATAATATGGGACCCCACAAATCTTCTGCAAACCTGAACAAAACTTGTGCTTTCTATTGTAACTACAAGGTTAACTACCGATTGTTTGTCACAAAACATTTAGTTAATATATATATATAGTATACATGGCTGGTATGTATATTAAAAACGATTATTTAAAACACGAAACAAATAATGTTTTTACCTCTTTATGTCATTATTAATGTGATGACGATGTAAGGAGGACAAAACATTGTTATTTGTTTTGTGTTTTAAATAAAAAAAATTTACATCCATCTCTACTATATATATATTTACTTCAAGTGGGTCCCTCGTCATCTTGAAAAGATTTAGTAAATAATTGTCAAGTTGATAAATTAAAAGTCAGAAAAATATAATTGCTTCTTTACTACATACAGATAATATTTAGTGTAGTTTGACATCACAAACAGTTTGCAAATAAACAGCTCCTTTCATAACTTTACTATTGTATGTATGCAATTTCAATCTTACTTTACTTGGGCTGTTATGTTGGAAGAGTAAGATTATAATGCCTTTTAATGGTTACATCAACTTTTACGTGCCTAGAAAGGAATTTTTTTTTATTATTTGTGAGACTCAAGAGGATGTTTCGAAACTAGTTTCTCTGATATGAGACATCTGACAGTTTGTTCCGTTTACTGTGGTTTTTTTCACTAATGGCTGTACACGATGTTCTTTTATTATTACAGTATACGTATCATCCACACTTTTTTATTTTCGTAAAATGTTTAGACTTTTTTTTTTTCACTTGCATGTTAACAAAAGTAAAGATTAGTTAAATACTCATTTGTGTGCAGAATTGAAAACCGTAATTAGAAGTACAGTTAAAACACCACTTAATAGTTGAATTATCAAAGAACATTTTCGTATTTTGTGTAATTAAACAAGATAACCAAACTTTTACAAGGAAATGAGCATGAAAGTTGGCATGGCAGTGGAACCCAATAGGCATATTATTATATGTGACAGAAACTATACTACACTGCTGACGTTTTTTTGTACATTCTCTTAATCTGTCTGTTACAAATTTCGAATCAGAAGTGTGTAAAAACATAATTTCTTGTCTATTTTTTACTGCATCACCAATTATTACAAAGAAAGCCTTTTGATCAGAACCAAGACTCACATGCTGTGCTATAACAAACAAATAGTTGACTCTGAAAGAAACACTGGTAGAAATATATCGGTGACCATACGATCCGTTTATGCTGCTCAAATGTAGGGAATGACATTTTGAAAGTCTTCTGGCTTTCATCTTCAATCAAAGAATAACTAAGTAGCTATGTAAAACATTGTGCATTATAAACATTTTAATGTTATGCTGTTGATTGCGAACATCTCATGAAGCAATAGAAACCAATTAGTTGAGTATTTGTGAAAAACAACATTCGTCCGAATCTGCCCAATTATATCTATACGCTTTAGTCATATTTACTCAAGTGAATTTTGTATCATCGATGTTTAAAGTTTTAGAGATTCTGTAAGAAATAATTGTATTGAGCATTATTAGCAAGATCTACATTATTGTTTGAATAAATGTAGAATAGAATGTTATTTGTTTTCGATTATCGTTGAAATGTCGTTAGTAACAAAAAGTTATGTATGACTAGTTTTTTAATTGTTTGAGGTATGTACATAATATCAGCTCTGGCAAAGAGGGTTGGTTTGTACTGTTATTTGGGCAGGCTTGGTGCTGTCATTACCTACCAATTTAAAAACCAACCCTAGTCTGCAGATAAATTACTTTTAAGGTTTCATACTTTCTTTGAACCCTATAATTAATTAGTGTTTATGGTATATGAAACCTAAATATGTCTGCAATTCTGTTACATTTAACTTGTGTCTCTCCTAACAGGCCACCATACCTGGTATACTTTGTGGACCACTGACGGCAGAACTGGTGACTCAGTCTCATGGCCGATGGTTCCCTGTTTTTGTCCTTGCAGCTGGTGTCAACTTTGCTGGTGCAGTGATTTATCTGAGTCAGAGTTCAGCCAGTCAAGCACTGTGAATCAGAGTGAACATTTTAAACGTTCTACTTCAGAGTGAACAGTGACCGACAAAAATGCCCTTGATTCACAGATTGTGTATTATATGCAGTATTGTTTTCACACAACTTTGAAGTGTAAACGGTTTACAGACGTCGAACACAGTTTTTTTTTTTTAATGTTATAAAATTGTTCAAAATGACCAGAAGTAACTGAAGGTATTATATTATTATTATAACGGAATGTGAAATTACTTTTATTGATTTAGCCTGGAATTTATAATCAGACAAAACTTTGAAAACAGACAGTGAAAAATATTTTTAAAAACTTTCTTTAATTTCACTTTTGTACTTTATTGTATACCAGGCTTTTTCAAAACCAAAGCCACATTTGGTGAGATAACATCTTTATGGACACCTGAATTTTATATTTGTTATGGTATAATTTCAACAAAAATAAATTATCCCTGTATTCTATAAATTTATTTCATAAATTTTTTTTATATTTATTATTTTATAATTCTTTAATACATTTTGAGATAGCCATCATGAGGAATTTGAACCCTGAATATAAGAACTCTTTGTGTCAAGTGATGACGTCATGCATCTTGTCTGATAAGTTAGGGTCTTTCTGTTGGTAGGATGAGTTTCTTTTAATATGCTCATATAAATTCTGGTAAAGAACAACAACTCCTAACCCATGTTGGTATTTGTAGTTTAATGCTTTGGATTTAAATTGTATGAACATACATGAGAACCTCACGTACAAATTATAATGTTCAAATGTAGTTTTTTTAAAAGTTTTATTGAGGTTATTTAGTTTTTATTTATTTAAGTTAATTTAAATGCGATTCAATTGCATAAGTTTCTATATATTTCCTTGCTGTAAATAACCTACTTGTGAATATATACAAGTCTTTAATCTAGGCTTGAGTCATAAAAGAAATGAAATCAGTTTTAAGTAGATGCGATTTGACTAACGAGGAACTTTAAAAGAATAAACATAATTATGGTATTTTGGCACTTGTGTATAAAGTTAAAATCATAGATAATATTCAACGTTAAACTGATACACA